CACTTAAAGAGTCCAGATCCAAATAAAGATTTGGATCAGGAAACTCCTAATCAGATTAGGATTAAGTTGATCTTAAACTGTAGATAAGATAAGGGATTATCCTTATCACTTAAAGAGTCTAGGTCCAAATAAAGATTTGGACCAAGAAACTCCTAATCAGATTAGGAGGTTGTCTCTTTAGGGCTATAAATAAGAGAGCAGGGCGGACATGCAAAACACACCAGACAAGACACAAAAGAGTGCAGAGTTCTCCCTGTTCTTGCTGCCCCTACCCAGTTCGATCTCCACTTGTGGGAGTGATCAAGAAATGTTCTTGATATTGCTTCTTGGTAGAAGAAGCAATCTGAAGTCGTGCTCACCAGCCCTCCACTCTATTCTTGCTGAAGAATTCGGTTCTTGCTAAAGAGTTGTCTTGTTGATCATGCTTCACCTCACACTGTGCCATCTTCAGTAGAAGCAGGTTTTGGTTTTCTCCTTGGGCGTGAACACCTTCATTGGGAGTTACTGCTACTCCGTATCAGGTATATCCCTCTCCTCCCTTTTGGTTTCAGATCTAGTCCGGTTTGTTTCAAGATTGATCCTTGAAAATGCAATTTTCTAAAATAGGGAATGTGATTCCCAGATAGGAGAGAATTTTTTGAAATTTCGCCCAACCTTCCTACAGGGTTCGGCCATCCATATGATGGACATCTCATCCCTTCAAGAACAGCATCTTGCTATTCACCCTAAGTTATGGGGAAAAAATCTCTGCAATCTTCCTTCTAACCCTAGTGTACCCCCTATTATCCCTTGGAACCATTGATCAAGCTACAGAATCTGCCAAGCTGTTGGCACCTCTTGGAATCTATTTGAATGAGCAGTTCTAATTTGTAGCCAAGGTTTTTGCTTCTCTAGCCAAAGACTTTTGAGCTCATGGCGTTTTTCCCCTCATGTCATCCAACTAACCATAATTTGGCAGTCCCTTTCTACTAGTAGACCTGTCCCTCCTTCAATTGCAGCAAACCTAAGCCTTTATAGTAACCCAAGAAACTAAGTAAAATGTTTCCTCCATCATCTCTAACCACATTTCCAATACCTAAGTCCCTGGGCTGCCTAAGCTGCACCTTCAAAGTTTAATTTCCCACCTTGTGGGCCCTCCATTTCACCATTCTTTGCTTTCTTCTGTTTCACATTCCAATAACAATCTCACAGTCCCACATTAACTCATCCGTGGCAACCCCTTCAAGTTCATCACATGATAATATCCAATAATACTTTTGACATTATGAATTCTATAAGCTGATGTATATATTAATTCCTTGTTCTCAAAGCATTTCTGTCACCCCACCCCCACAGGCTCCACAACATTGCATTTCTTGTACAATGCAACATCAGTCTTTGCCTTTTTGTGTAACAAGGAAATTGATGAGACCAACTTGAATTTGTTGGTGGTGTCCACAATGGCCTAAATAGAGAGATAAAGTGGTTCAATACCCCACATACATACTGAAAAGATAAGAAAAGGTGGTTGATACTATCCCCACTCTTAAAACAGAAGATGCATATGTTGAGTTGGGCCAATTTCTAGTTATTGGGCCCAGTTGTTTTGTTCTTATTTTAAGTTGTTAAGTTAGGAAGCTGTTGGGCTTTAGGCCCACTAGTTTTTGTTTTTTAAGTTGCGACTGTTCAGCTACTTTAGTAGCCGCCCTAGTAAGGGCATTCTTGTAATCTTTCATTCTTTTAAGTTAAGTATAAAATATAATGAGGGGTTAGCGGCCAGAACTAATTTCAATTCTAGTTAGCATCTCACTCT